TTTTCAAATTAGGAAATATTTTTAAAAAAGCTAATTATATTTCGATGTTAAAATGATTTTGTCGGTTTAGTTCCGTCGCGCTGTCAAGCGAGGCAAAGTTCAAAGGATTCGAGCATTGTCCGCGACGAGCACTGAGGATGACGAGGGTCCGGTATCTTCGAAATGTCAAAAAAAGAAGAAAAGACGTATATAAGCAAAAGACCATTTGTGAAGCTAAAAATTCGAGATTTCTTCCCAGTGATTTATCTCTTAGTAAGATTAAACAACCGAGCAGAGAAAGGTTCCTTTTTCGCTATTAAAAATTTTTTTCTTTTGCTAAGGTTCCCAAGTTGCTAGTATTTCTTAAAATAAGTCACTAAATGATAGTAAATAAAATAAGTAAATGTATGTCGAACTATATAAAACTCTAATAATATAACAATTACAGTTCGCCTGGAAGTGCTAGTAGTACTTGTTCCACACTGCGAATTAAGAAGGATTGGTCAGAGCCAAAACTCGGTTGGTGTAGAGATGAAAGTACTCTTTTAAGACGTGCAAAGGTATTATTTCGAGGTCATTTTTCGAGCAAGTTTTATACTTGTTATTTGTTGAAGTGTCAAATTATTACAAATATAGATAAAATAACTATATAAATATACTACTGAAATTAGAAAGATAATTTTATTGAGGAAATTGAGAAGGCGAAGGAGAAACCAATCTACGCGAAATATCTTGCAAAAGTGCCACGATATGCTCGAACGAAAGACATGCCAAAAACTCCCAACAAATATATCCAATATTCACGTAGATCATGGGACAAACTGGTTTTTTTGTTTTTTTTTCATTGTTCTGGAACTATTTTTCCTTATGGACAAAATTTACTTTATCTTTCAATACAATTAATAAAAAATCGGGATTTATGTGTCTTGAGCTTACAGATACGTCTGTGGAAGCGGCGATTATATGAATGGGCTGATGAAGAACCGACTCAAAGTTGCTTAAGTTTAAATGAATCCACATCTGATGAGATCTCCGACAGTGAGGCAGCATCTTCATTTTCTTCTTTAATGTCAGATGAAAATAAATTATCTTTCGATGAAATCAAGGTTGTATTTGATAGCATAGGCTGTAAATTAAAAGTTAATTAATATTAATGTTTATTTGCCGATAGGTCATATTAAATGAAATCGGACAAATGGAAGCGTGTGTTGCATATGGAATTTTGCCTGTTTTGATGTTGAATAATTCAAATTATATTTATCACTATTCCATTTAACATCAGGTGGAACAGGATGCAGCAGCTTCTCTTCTTGGTTATCTTGATATCGATACGCGAACTAATACGGTAACAGTGATGAAGACTGATGATGAATCAACACTGAAGGGAACGTCGCGAAGTACCCTCGGACCTCGCGATTTCAGCAAACTTTAGTCTCATATCAACTAATGCTTCTGCATTATCATATCGGACTTATCTAGTTTTTGAGAGGTCAAGTTTTCCGAGTGATATTTCAGAATGTATCAATTTCGCATTCTATAGAGGAAAAAATTTTACTTTGAATCAATATACAGAAAGAATTTCTTGTGCAGTAGGATTTTTCAGTGACGCAGCAAAAGACGCACTATTGAAATGAATTTTGTTTGTCGTGAGATATTTTCTTAGTTATACGAATGATTTTATTAAACTAATGTGAGAATAGATATTTTTAAACTCATTCATGGCAAGATTATGTGATTTTTTTAACTGAAGTTTTGTTATGTTCTACTTAATTTTGTTATGCACAAATTAATTAGCTTATTACGATTGATTAATTATTCTCTGTGATCGTTCTTCTCATATTAGGATTTTACTGCACCGCAATAATTCTTTTTGTCTGTAATTCAGTGAAACGCATGAAGAGATTACCCGAATGATATGTATTTTAAAATTATATGATTTATGGTTTCCGTTGAATTTGTTTTGTTTTGTCTTGCGTCATTATTATCTTTACTGTTATGAAGCCTATTTGTTTGCATGATTCAAATTGAAATAAAATTTTAAAATTCAGAAAAGAAAAAAATTACATGGATGTGACATCTTACGCTAATCAGGTATTATTCCGGTTGTCTTCCTGTTTTCCAAAAAAATTTTCTTGTCAATATCATTCGAAAATTGGAGAGAGACTTGCGCATCTTTCATTTCAATTATGCTAATACGAGGAGAAAGAGCTGTTTCATTTTTAATATTGGGTTTCTTTGGAATACAGTGATTTCTACAGAAAGTGGAAACTGATATGGAACTGATATGCTTTAGTTGCAGCGTGACTGCATTCATTTTATCATTTTTAAACTCAATATTAAGGGAATCCAGGTGGATGTGACAAGAAGCGAATTTCGAAGAACGATTAGATCAAAAAAAAACATCCATGTGCAGTTGGATTTGATTTTGAACAGAGACAATGATTTATTTCTTATTTGTGATTGAAAATATATTTATATTTTAGATACAAACTATATGATTTATGACATTGAAAGTCAATTCACCTAGGCTTTCGAGACATTTCATAAAATATTTTGAAAAGAAGCCGAACTCAATATCAGTCTTATATCGAGCCATTTACAATCATACATATTATTATGGCAAGGGTGTATGCAAATTTTTAATATTTATATTTTTAGGATTTCTGCCTAATCAATTATGAAAAATTTTGCTATCTCAGTCGAAGTGATTGCAGTTCGAACATCGAGCATTTATATTTATTTTTTTTTATTTCGAAATCCACTGAAAAATTTATCTTGATTTTCATGGATTTAAAAAAGCAGACTAGAAATTAATCTTAAACTTCTCCGAACCTGAAATATCCTCCAAAAGACTTATAGCGAATTGCTGGGACTGCTGTTACGTAAAATTTTATTTTCAAATGCATGTATGTTTATCGAACATATAATTTTCTATTGGATAGCTATTTCCGTATATCATTATATCAAGATAAAATAAATTAAAGATAAAATAAATAGATAACTAATAGTATTTTTTACTCTTACATCTTACAGCAATGATTTTTATCAATCTTGGAATGATATTCTGAAATCTAAAAATAACTGTCGAAAAAATGTATAAATATTTCTTAATAAATTTTAAATTTCTTTCTATTTTGTTTTATCTTTAATCCAAATTGCGATTACTTTTTCGACATTTTATTTTAGTAAAACTTCTTCAATTTGTCCCGAAAATACTCTCATACACTAGTATGAATTAAAAGGAAAAAACAATAGTTCACATCTTTTTATCCATTATAAACTTAATCTTCAGGACGAAAATGATAAGCAGAATCAGAGCCTTACTTGAGTTGGAGAGATTTTTGAAATGATAATATTACATAAGGTATCATTGATAAAATGACAAGATTTATATGAACAGATATTTTCGTACTTTGATTATTTTGAAAAAATGAAAAAAAGAAATTTTTTTTCAAATTTTTTCAAAGAGAAAAAAAGTTTTAATAAATAAAATGTTAAGAAAGTAATTGCAATTTAGATTAAAGAATAAAACAAAAATAGAAAGAAACTTAAAATTCATTAAGGAAGAAATACTTTTCTTTTTTTTCTTTCTTTTAGCTTTTTCATTTTCATTTAATTCTCGTTTAAGAGTAATTCTTATAGATTTTGTTGATTGTATGAGAATGCATAATAAAGGTCAAGGTAACAATTGTGACAAATATATGGAGTGGGCGAATTTAGTTGTTAGCTATATCTCATTTTCTACGCAAACTAAAGGCAAATATTGTCAATTGACGAAATACTTCCTTTCTTCTTATTTTTATGAAAATCATTCAACGAAATGTCTTTCCTAAATTAGATACTCTAGTCTCGATTAATAATTATAGTTTATGGTCATATTTTTTTCTTTATCCCTTTCATTTCTTTCTTTGTCTGAATATAGCAAAACATATATTATAAATGTATAGCATGTATCGGTCATCGAAATCTATATTTATAATAAAATTTTTATGTGACATGAGATGATTGATTATAGATAAATCAGTTGAGTATAACAAAACATTTCGTCATGATCCTTTTCACTTAACGGTACTCAGTTATTTTACCTATAAATTATTCATATGAACCTCTGGGGGCAGGTCGATCATTCTTATATCGATTGAGTACGCTGAGAAGAAAAAAAAAGGTAAATAAATTTCTTGCGGTCAATGAGCTCTCTCTAATAATTAGTTCTAAAAACTTGTTGCGATGATTCAATTTGAAAACATCTGGTTTTTATGTCCTAAAAATAAGTCAATTCAGCTTTCTTTATGAACCTTTTTTTTTTTTCAATTTTATTATTTTGTTAACAGAAACAACGATATTTGAAATAGGGCATCAAATTGAGCAGATTCTTTACGATTCGTATATTTCGCAATAATTCACATCATCAATAAAAGTTTTTCTTCGCTTTAATATTTAATTGAAATGCGATATTGTAAATTTGATAATGATGTGATAGTGGAAACGAAAGGAAAGATTAATTGATACACGATTGACTATATCACTAGAATGTTTTATGAGAAACAAAACTTGAATATTATTGATTGATTAGGAATGGAAGTATACGTAAAGTTTCTTGCGAAATGACAAAGAAGAGATCATTTATAGGTTCGCTATTAATAATAACACCAAATGAAAAAAAAAAAAAATCATTATGCTCTTTTTCGTTCTGCATCCTTCCTCATCTATTAATACATTAAATTAGTATAAATGATAATAATAGCTGATTAAAGGGAAAGCGATTCTATCACCTGTTTCTTTTTATATCTTGTTTATGAAATTAAATGGACACGATATTCTGCTATCCCCCGTTAACTCTTTCGCTTCATCTTTCTTCTCCAACAACTGGTAAAACAACTATTGAAGAATTCCTCAATATTAAATGGTAGAAATAAGTAGTAGAAGTATTGATGTTTACAGAATCAATTCGACTATACATAATAGAATTCCAAATATCTAATGATAGGTTTTGCAAGTAGAAAGTGAGAGACGAACGATGCCGACCCTGGTAGGACTTAAACCTGCCAGAGTTTTCGCTTTAGGATAGCAATGCCCTGTCCACTAGGCTACAGAGCTATGCACTAGCACTACTACGTTTATTATTATTTATTTTACCATTATGAAATGCAATAATTAAATTGACGTAGATTATTCTAATATCAGAAATGTTTAATCGTAGTCGTAGTGATAATCGTAGTAATGTCGTAGTCGCAGTCATAATCGCAGTTGCATTCATAATCATAATTGATGTGTGATGATTGTCATCTTAATGTTCTGTTAGCAAAGGGTGCACACACTTCTGATCATACCGTCATGTATGTTTATTTATTAATTGCATATATATAAGTTGTGATTTTCTTGAAAAAGCTTCTTTACCTCCCTTACCGCTTGGGTGAAATAAATTTTTGGAGAATGAATGAATGGAATGGGATGAATGGAATGAATGAATGGAATGAATGAATGAATGGAATGAATGAATGAATGGAATGAACGGAATGAATGAATGAATGGAATGAATGAATGGAATGAATGAATGAATGGAATGAATGAATGAATGGAATGAATGAATGAATGGAATGAATGAATGAATGAATGGAATGAATGAATGAATGAATGGAATGAATGAATGAATGGAATGAACGGAATGAATGAATGAATGGAATGAATGAATGGAATGAATGAATGAATGGAATGAATGAATGAATGGAATGAATGAATGAATGGAATGAATGAATGAATGGAATGAATGAATGAATGGAATGAACGGAATGAATGAATGAATGGAATGAATGAATGGAATGAATGAATGAATGGAATGAATGAATGAATGGAATGAATGAATGGAATGGAATGAATGAATGAATGAATGGAATGAATGAATGGAATGGAATGAATGAATGAATGGAATGAATGAATGAATGGAATGAATGAATGAATGAATGAATGAATGGAATGAATGAATGAATGGAATGAATGAATGAATGGAATGAATGAATGGAATGAATGAATGGAATGAATGAATGAATGGAATGGAATGAAATGGAATGAATGAATGGAATGAATGAATGAATGGAATGGAATGAAATGGAAATGGAATGGAATGAATGAATGGAATGAATGAATGGAATGAATGAATGGAATGAATGAATGGAATGAATGAATGGAATGAATGAATGAATGGAATGGAATGAAATGGAATGAATGAATGAATGGAATGAATGAATGGAATGAATGAATGGAATGAATGAATGGAATGGAATGGAATGAAATGGAATGAATGAATGAATGGAATGAATGAATGGAATGGAATGAATGAATGAAATGGAATGAATGAATGGAATGAATGAATGGAATGAATGAATGAATGGAATGAATGAATGGAATGAATGAATGGAATGAATGAATGAATGGAATGGAATGAAATGGAATGAATGAATGGAATGAATGAATGAATGGAATGGAATGAAATGGAATGAATGAATGAATGGAATGAATGAATGGAATGAATGAATGGAATGAATGAATGGAATGAATGAATGGAATGAATGAATGGAATGAATGAATGAATGGAATGGAATGAAATGGAATGAATGAATGAATGGAATGAATGAATGGAATGAATGAATGGAATGAATGAATGGAATGGAATGGAATGAAATGGAATGAATGAATGAATGGAATGAATGAATGGAATGGAATGAATGAATGAAATGGAATGAATGAATGGAATGAATGAATGGAATGAATGAATGGAATGAATGAATGAATGGAATGAATGAATGGAATGAATGAATGAATGGAATGAATGAATGGAATGAATGAATGGAATGAATGAATGAATGGAATGGAATGAAATGGAATGAATGAATGGAATGAATGAATGAATGGAATGGAATGAAATGGAATGAATGAATGAATGGAATGAATGAATGGAATGAATGAATGGAATGAATGAATGGAATGAATGAATGGAATGAATGAATGGAATGAATGAATGAATGGAATGGAATGAAATGGAATGAATGAATGAATGGAATGAATGAATGGAATGAATGAATGGAATGGAATGAATGAATGGAATGAATGAATGAATGGAATGGAATGGAATGAATGAATGAAATGGAATGAATGGAATGAATCAATGCATGATTGGAACGAATGAATGAATCAATGGATGAAGAAAAGGAAGGACAGAAGAATGGGTGTTATAGCGAATTCAGGTCATCCAAAAGGGTGCTATTGCGAAATTGTCCAACTATACATCCCAAAAATAGTTTATCCCTGAACATTGTTACAAATTCATATATTTTTTTTATTCATCCTTTTAATGAATGTTTTTATTATTTATTTCTCATTACTATTACTACTATTATGTTTACATTTTGGAGGATACAACATTTAGAATTGTTAGAAAATGGTAATCGTATAGAATCAGGTGACTAATCAATGAGGTATTTTCATTAAAATGAAAATATATGTTAGCAATAGTAGTAGTAGTAATAGTAGTAGTAGTAATAGTGGTAGTAGTGGTAGTAGTAGTAGGCAGTGGTGGTAGCAGTAGTGGTAGTAGCGGTAGTAGTAGTGGTAGTGGTAGTGGTGGTAGTGCGTAGTGGTGGTAGTGGTGGTGGCTGCAGCGGTGGTAGTGGTGGTGCGTGGTGGTGGTGGTGGTGCGTGGTGGTGGTGCTGGTGGTGGTGCCGTGGTGCGTGGTGGCTGGTGGTGGCGGCAGCGGTAGCTGGTGGTGGTGGTGGTAGCTGCTGGTGCGCAGTGGTGCCGTTGCTGGTGGTGCCGCTGGTGGTGCGTGGCTGGTGTTGGTGGTGGTGGTGCTGGTGGTCGGTGGTGGCAGTGGTGGCTGGTGGTCGGTGGTGCGTGGTGGTGGCTGGTGGCTGGCGGTGCTGGTCGGTGGCTGCGTGCTGGTGGTGCTGGTGGTGGTGGTCGCGTGGTGTTGCTGGTGCGCCGGTGGTGGCTGGTGGTGGTGGCTATTGGTGGTGCTGCTGCTGCGTCGCCGCTGGTGGTAGTCGTTGCTGGTGGTGGTGGTGGCGGTGGTGGCTGCGTGGTGGTGGTGGCGGCTGGTAGCTGGTGGTGCGTGGCTGGTGGTGCTGCTGGTGGTGGTGCGCGGTGGCTGTTGGTGCGTGGCTGGCGGCTGGTGCTGCTGGTGGTGGTGGTGGTAGCTGGTGGTGGTGGTGCTGCTGCTGGTAGTGGCTGCGTAGCCGTGGCTGCTGCTGGTAGCAGTAGCTGCTGGTGGTGTAGTTGCGTAGCTGGTAGTGGTAGCAGTAGTGGTAGTTGCTAGCAGCAGTAGTAGTAGTAGTAGTAGTAGTAGTAGTAGTAGTAGTAGTAGTAGTAGTAGTAGTAGAACTAGTCGAAAACTTTATATGTATGAGTAATGATAATAAATGACAATGATATTTATCAACTGTCAAAAGCAAGTTTAATTTTAAATCAAATAGAAAATTTTATTTAAGATACGCTGCTTTTATCATTTCATCTGGGTGTGTGTATTCATTCATTCCTTCTACAGAAAAAAAAAATTATTTGAGGAATTAAATTTCCCGGGATTGTAAGAACCGGTTTGGAATGTTGATCAGATGGAATCAGCTAATTCCATTGAACGAGCATAATTGCAACTGGAGATTTAATTCTTTTTAGTTTACTCTACCAGGTTCAATTCACTATTCATTTCTTTTTTTTTTTCACTTCATTTCATCAAGCATTTACAACAAATAATTTTTGCGTTTATTTTAAGTCTTAATTTCATCATTTTAATCATTATTGCTAATTTCATTGATTTTAAGAATAAGAAATTTGTTTGCAGTATCTCTTACAAAAATTACCACATGTTTCAATAACTGATAATGTGTGTTGCGGGAATTTTGCATACTTTTTGTTATCATCCATCTTATCATAAAGTGAAAGAAGAAGGAGAGGGATTATCTTGAAGTATTTGAAAGAGTAATTAATGATACGATGATAAATTAAAAAGTGAAAGAAGAAGGAGAGGGATTATCTTGAAGTATTTGAAAGAGTAATTAATGATACGATGATAAATTAAGCATTATTATACGATAAAAAAAAAGTGCAAGTCACTGATAAATTAAGATTATTGATCCAAAAGAAATCTAAAGAGATAATATTTAGACGAAAGTATTTGAAATATTCCCACCTATTTTTGAATTAATGCATTCACATGATTTTTAGTCTATGAATAGTAAATTTTTCATCATCATTGTTGAAATCATTTTGCTTCATAAAGAAGATCAATGATCACTTTAACCTATACAATGTTAAAAGATTTATTATATAAAATGATATCTCATTTAATTCATTCAAGATTTTTCATCTTTCCTTTGCATCAATTTTTTGAATTTGAAATTATGAAATAAGAAAATTTTCATAAATTTACAATTAACTATGGACTTTTTTTTTACTATTTATCAATTAAACGTAACATTTATTAAATATTATCGGCTGTAATCCTTTTATATTCGAACATATTATAAATCTTATTATTCCTATATATCCATCTATCAATTCAATTGATTTTATTCTTTTGTCATTCATTTATTTATTCACTTATTTATCATCTTATTCATTTATGGTGGATAGCTACTATCATAATGGCTAAAACGTAACCGTAGCCTGCTTTTTCGACATTTGAGCTATCTCCACTGATTAGCCCATGAATTAATTTATTTATTAGATTAGCTATTTCTTTAAAATTCTCTGCTCCAAGCCCACGTGTTGTTTCAGCAGCAGTACCAAAACGCAGCCCTGAAGTAATGGTTGGTAGTATCAAGACAATTATTTACTTATCCTTTCGATATAAGATGACACCTGCCTTGCACAAGAAATCATTTTATTAACCATATAATTTTCGTGATTATTATCTATTTTAGATCCTACGCTAGAATTTACATGGAATAATGATTTAGTTAATAGCCTCTCTAAGACAGATCATACTTTGCTACATTATCTAGAAAAGAAGCTAAATTACCTAATTCTCGTCCCTCCCATGCGGCGGCCCTTTGCAACATATGAATCAGTTCTTTAAGCGACTATTTGAATTATTATTCATATAAAT